CGAGTTCGTTTGTCGTTTAATCACAGTAAAGTACGTTCAGTGAAACAACACATTGAATATCAAAAAAACCATTACTGCATTAAAATTTCAGTATTTCTATTTTAATTTTACGCATATACATTGGTTATGTTTACTCGAAATGTTTTATCGTGATTATGTAAAACATGAACCGTCGACAATGAACGGTTGCACTATGCACGTCACTGAAACACAACGGTTAGACGTGTGTTAAAGCGTTGCACATAGTATGTTTATTACAAATTAAATATTTTCCCGCTGTTTTGTTTTTTTCTAGTAAAAAGAATAACAAAACGATTCGAGCAATATTATTGAACATTACATACAATGTCACTTCCAACTCTTCTGTGCGCATAATTATTCGATCGCATAAGCACGTGGTTAACAATTGGAACGCTACATAGATAAACGCATGTTCATAAATTCACATAAATAGCACAAAAAAAACTGTATTTTTAACAAAGTCACGAGTCAACGGTAATAAAAAATATAGTGTGTACGCATAATACAACACTTTTATCATAAAAATCATTAACCTCGAGTCAGCAAACGTAATGTTTTTCGCGCACGCGTTTTTACGTTTATTTGGGGAAAAAAATTACCATTCATAACGATCGAATACCACCGGAGATTTTAGTCTTCATATCCTTATTTTTTGGCTCTCGTTATTGCGTAAAACTTTTAAAAAACAATTTAACGCAAGTGCGTACACCGATAATGTATGCAACAAGACACGTACTTTATAATACGGTTTAAACAAATGTTCAATACATTTCAGACTGTATTTCCATGAAAGCAGCATGAGACGGAATGGACTAGCTATATTCAACCAGCGGCCCTCCAATGATTTGTATGTGGCCCAAACAGAATTCATTGAATTGATAATAAAATATAAATTTCATAACTTATATTATAAATATAAAATAGGTATAAAAAAACAATTAATGTATGTCGCAAATTCAAAAATAAAATATGCAAAGAACGTTTACAGAAATTGGCTTACCGATTCACATCTTAATGACTTTTTAAGAGTAGTATGCAGCACTTACAAACCAGATATACCAAAATATAAGTATTCAAAATAGTGAAAATCGATCTCAATATAAACTTTCACACTAATTTAAAATAAATATATAATTATTTTTTTTATAAAAAATTTTCAAATGTTATACAATATACACAGTGTATAAATTAATTCTTAGTTTTTTTTTTTTTTTAATTTCCGTTCCGTTCATTTCGACTTGCGGTCCGTAAAATATTTTAAAATATTTTATGTGGCCCAAATATAAAAAATGATTGAATATGGCTGGAATAGACGAAGACCTCTAATTGATAACATATTTTATACAATATAATACCAACTGAATTAGTCGACCTCATTTAAAAATATTTCATGCTTTCGGTGTAAAAAAAAAAACACACGTTGATCGTATGTTTTATGATTTTATGATATTAATTCATATATATATATATATATATATATATATTTTAATAAAAATACGTTTATTTTTAGTTAGTGAGTGAAACAAATAATGTATTGGTTTTATTGTGATGTTTATTTTTAATTGTGTGTATATCTGTGCACACGATTTCGACCAAGAGGATGGCTCCAACTACCATTATAAAAAGATTTCTAAACATTTAGTATAAGTTTCCTATATACATATTTTACTAAATACTAAAAAAATAAAGCTTGATTTTCAAAAAAAAAAAAATAATATAACGATAAAAATCTTTAAAATTAATTACAGTTTTTCAACTTAAGGCTTTAAAATTTAAACCCAAATCTTTTGTACATTTTTTTTTATAGCCACAAGAAAAAAATTATCGAAAAGTCGCAAAAATGTTTTGTACGTGTTAAAAAATGAAAAGTTGACCAAATTGAATTTTTCAACAAACTTTCATTAAATGATATTATTTATTTAATTACGGACATTTTATAGTTTTTAACTTTTTTGCTGTTTGTAGTTAATAAAAAAAAATTTTGTTATGTTTCAAAGATTAAACACTTTTTTTTATTTTTGCTCAAGTAAGAATATTTAAAGTTTAACCTACTTTATTAAAAAATTTGGTTTTGTTACTATATCAATCATCATTAGAAATATAAACTGAGCAGGAAGATCTCTTCTTTTACTTAAAAACATTTTTTTCGAAAACAATAGTACATTGAATTTTAGTTTAAAATACCAATACAGCAATACTATTGACCCACCTCTGTATCTCACCCGACCGTAAAGTCTCCCATGATTCGGAGTTTCGTCCTTTATCGCATTTACACTAAATTTTTAGTTGGTAATTTTTAAATTAAACATTTTAAACAAAATAAAATATTTTCTAGGTATCTACCCGAAAAATATATTCGTCCAGTACAGAAAACAAAACTGTTTGGACCTTTAAAAATGCGATTTTCGAAAAACCCTTTCTTATTATACGTGTACACAGTTACGTACATTAAATATATCGTTATATTATATTAATATGATCTAGGACAATAAAATAATAATTACAATGTTTCCCCAAAACTTATAATGAATCCGTGTGGAACTAGTTTACACGGATCAGTAAGTGAATGGTATTTGAATTATGTATACAGATTAAAAATGTGTAAAACAAATGCACGTACGATAGTTTGCGTTATAGTCGTCGTTCATTTTATGACTACATATGTATTATTTCAAACGGATTTTCGATAAATCATTTTTATAGCACTTGTCAACTTAAGTGAATATATGTACGTATGATGCGGTAAAATACATTTAGCAGCTATAGACAATATTATAATTTTATATCGAACGAAACATGATTTATGCCGTCATTCAATCAATCAAATTAGTTTTCGAACGTTACCAATGCGATTTTTTCTCGGAAGAGACATGCGTTATACCAATATATACCTGTACCGGTCTCGATTGTCGATTGTCTGTACATAGAGTTAAGACACAGGTACTGCTTGAAAAACAAAATAGAACGATGTAATTATGATTGGTTCTCTTTGACCTGAGCATACCTTAATTACCTGTTAATGTTTTGATTTATTTATTTTTATAATTATACATAAATTGTTTTTCTTTAAATTCGTTATGATTTTACTCGTTAGTTACCCAATAAGTTAATCGAATAAAATTATTTGACGAACGAATCACCACCGTAACAATGTATCGTTGTGAGAACTATCTATTTGAAAAGCATTCATCGTTATTGTAATTTCGTCATCTTTCACTGTACGATTGATCGAAGTCTAAAGTTTTTCATTGCAACAAGTCTACGATTATAAGTAACAAAACGGATCCTTCCTCCACAACCAATTGTAACTCGATGGGGCGGGCACTTGGTTGAATGCCGCTAATTATTATTGTCAAAACTTCCAAGAAATCAAAAATGCTGTTGCTGAACTCTATGCGACTACTTCAATGTATATTGGAAAAGCTGAAATTCTTTTAGAAAATAATGATTAAAAATGAATTAATATAGATTTCTGTTAATTATTATTTTTTGGTTGATGTCATTACGAAATTAGAAACTCGATACTCAAATTTAGTGGAAAGTTTAAATGTATTTGAGGAAGCGGAAAAAAGACTAAAAAATGTTCAAAGACCAATTGGTGATATTGTAAACGCTAAAGTGAAAAATGTATTAGAAAAAAATTCCGGTCTAGCAGAAATGAAAGCTACTAAAATTATTGTAACTGGAATTTCGTCTGAAGCTTCGTTCAATGTAGAACTTTCTCCTTCAGACATAGTCATCATGAAATATTGTCCAATAACCTCAGTTAAAGTTGAGAGATCTTTTAGTCGATATAAAGCAATTTTAGGGGCAGAATCGGCGATTTTTTGAATTCGAAAATTTAAAAATGCATGTTATTATTAATTTTAATAAAGATAATTAGATAGTTAGATAACATTTATATATTTTTTTATTATATTTCATTTTATTATTAATTATTATTTTTATTTTTTGATAATACAAATTATGAATAAAATTTTAAAATTTAATTTAAAAAAAATTAATAAATAAATCATAATAGTAAAATACATATTTTGAGTTAACATATATCTATGTACATATTTTCGTAGCATAAGTACATATTTTGGTTTTATAAATACATATAAAGCCGAGCCCTAATTATGAGCAATAAAAATTACATTTATTAATTATTTTTTTTTTTTTTACTTTATTTATTTAATGTTACTTAGTGTGGTGACATATTCTTAGATTTCATAACAACTTAATAACCGTATAATTGAATTTGATTATAACATGTTATTAGTACATATATTAACCAAATTCTTTCTTGAAATAAGTACTTTATATGACCATATAATATTTTAAATGGTAAATATTTTGTTTTTAAATCTTTGAAGACACTGTGGTTCGTAAACCATATTAATGGAATTATATCAACATATAAATATGTGCATAAGTATTGGAGTATTATATTTGTTTAAAATAAAATTCTTAGTTATAGCTGAGGTCCTTTGTATTTCAATCCCTCTGTGAGGCATTCCACATCCAGTTCGATCATAAATCTGCGGAGCGGTTGAAAAATGTAATTGTTTTTTTTTTTGTTTCGTAAAGAAATAGCCTAATGCGTGTCGGATGGATATTTGCATAAAATAATAATTATACATTGTGTACGTGTGAATTCCGCAGACAGTGTAATCTATTGAAAGCGAACCCTCCGCGTAGGATATATTTTATGAGCTTTTTCTTATACGCGTACACCACTGGTATGATTTCGATCGCGTCGGAACTTACGCGTAACGTAACCACTTTCGAAGTCGGTAATATTTCGTAAACTTACCGAGCCTCCCTCGTTATTACGGTACCAATTTCGCGTCTGATGACGGTTGACTTTTCTCTCGAACCGGCGACCAACCCTAACCCTTCCTCCACGCTCCAACCCCATCAGCCACCTCGGCGCGACGAAACGTCGTTTCGCGCTGACGATTAAATTATTTAAAATCAACGTGGGCTTGTCTTACCTTTGCCGCGATCATGGTACCCGCGTTTCTGGCTGTTCACACGACGGACAGGAGCCGGCGGCGTGTGCGGAAACGCGGTTTCGAAAACTGAAGAGTCGCACGCAACACACGGTTTTTCGGGACGCGATCGCGGCCGACTGTCGCGCACACGACGAGCGACCGGTGTTTGGGTTTGACGGGGCAGCGGAGCCGATGAGAGACGCGCGCGCGATAGTCGAACGATGTGTAACAAATATCATACGCGCGTTAACACGGGCGGCGGTGGCGCAGGAGGCAAAAAATAACAGATTCGGTGGTGGTGAACGGCGGCGGCGGCGGCGGCGAAACCGTCAAACGAAGCCGACCGCCCCCACCTGCCAGCTACCGACGATCGGATGCAAAACAGCTTCGGCCACGCGCGCACGCGCAATAACCGTCCGGGACCTACGGTCGAACGGTGTGTTGGCACCTGACACGCCGAGATCGAAAAAACCCGACCGTCAACACTCGGTCGGTAAACTACTGCACGGTCGACGTTCGTACCCTGATCTGATGGTCGTTGGATTTCGCAATCACCGATCTCTTTCGGATCGGGATCGAGGTGGAAAAAGTTTTATTTTCGTTTTTTTTTTCTCCTGACAACGCTGTGAATGTATAAAAAATTATTTTCTCGAACGTTTTCATCGCCGACCTTTAGATTTTCATTCACTTGCTGCGGCAACGGATTTCATGTCGATCGGTCAACCCCCTCGATCGGTTTTTCCCGTCCGGTAGGTTTATTCTTGAGTTCAGCAACGTTGTTATGATTACAATAATGTGCTTTTATTTATAAGACGTCATAGCAGGATTTCGAATGAAGGAGTTGGTAACGCATCAATTGGGTATTCGTAAGATTGTTGCGAATGTCCGTCGATATAGTTATCTGGCGAAATCCCTATGAGCTGGACCATCTCTACACTAGGTACTATAGATTTTCCTGTGTATCATAAGTCTTTTACGGAACCCCGAGAGCTCGCCAATACTGTAAAACGTATGGTTTATTTCAGTCAAATGTTAACACCCGATCGTTGGACCGCAACGTTCAACAATGATGGTGCGAATGATATGTGGACACGATATACAAGGACATACTTGATGTTACCAAGAGGTACTCGCGCTTAGATGATGATAAGTCAGCTAATGTTACACTAGTCATGATTGACCTTTAGTATCGTCTTCCCTTGTCGCAAAATATTGCATTCGACATTCGGACCGATTTGTCTGAAACGGAGGAATTTTAGGTTCGCATAAACTAACCGTAATCAGACGGTCGAGAGCATAGTAGTACAGGATAGAGATCTACTAAATTTTCTTAATCTGCCGACCATTCGAAACCATCAACACGTTCCATCGAATCACTATGCATCTGTATTGTAAAACGTCGGTACTAATGTGCACTGTACCCGGTGTAGGATATACTTACGATTTAATAATCGTACGATACGAGAGCATAAATAAAACTGGCGTGCAAAATTTAACTGTAAATTATGCACTGTATAATCTGTAAGGACTACGGATAAACTATTATTCGCTCATAAGCTACGTTTTAAGTAAAAATACTAACGTGACCACAAAATTTCAGGTCGCAGGGGAAATACAGTTCGGGTGCACGAACCATTATATAAAAAAAAAAAAAAAAACACTAGTGTTTGTTGGTTGTGAACGATCGTCCCTCCTTCGATATATGTTACCGCTGGCTGTAATGAAAGCTCTTCACGTATATTTCATACATTTCACACTGTTATTTCGTAGGGAATAACGAGAGAAGACCGATTGGAGAGTAGAGACTACTGTCGAACGAAGCACGTCGGATATAAGAAACGAAAACGATATTTGAGTATTTGCCCTCGGATCCCTTCTATATCCACGATTGAATACGTGTTAGTTCAACGGGTATACCAATGGTAATATTCAGGACTATGACGCTCGGTACGGTAGTTTAAATAACTTGATTTTCCCGTAAATTTGTATTCCACATCTAATTTTATTGAGAAATCGTCAATCCGACGTCATTGTACTTTTTGACATCTCTAGCGTATTTTAAAAATAAATAAATTTCAAAAATCATACAGACCTAAATGTGCAATAGAATACGAAAAGGTACGAAAATATTAATGGTTTCATATATCGTGTACGAAGAAAAAATAACATTGAAAAATGTAAATTTCGCGTAAGAAACAACTAAATAATATTTAGTTGTTACTTACGCGTATATATTATAATCGTTTTTGCAATGGGCTTACCCGGTAATTGAATATTGAAGGAATGTTCATTATTTCAAGCCGATGAGTGAACCGTTCGAGTACTTAGGCCCACCTCTGGCGTTCAGTGGTATAATGTACATACTATGTCATCGAACACAATAATAATGATGTTAGATGGCGTAGATGTAAGTACACACGTGTCGCGTGTTTTGGCATTATGTATAATATTATTACGTATAATTAAAAAAAAAACAGAGACTTAACAACCGTTCAAAAGTCAAAACTAATTTATAAAACACTGATTTAATTGATTTGATCAAAATTTAAAATCTGTCATCTCCTGTACCCCCGGAATAAACGGAATACACATACATCTCACGTATTATCGTTATACCTAAATCTGTTTTCGTGAAATATAACAAGAAATTTGAACCGTATCAGTGTCGGCGTTTTTGCTCATTCGTCGTGATGCACGTGCATATTATGTGCCGTTGTACATATATACTCGTATATATATGTATATTATATACCATCCAACGCGATATCATCACTATAATACAACGTTAGCTACTGGTCAGGCCCGTCGTCGCGGACCGGTTTCCGAAAGCGAGGTGTGAGCTGCCGCCGGTCGAACGGAACTCGTCGTCATCATCCCTCGGGACGATCCGGGTCGAGGAACCGATCGATTTTTTTTATTTTCGACACGAGAAGTCGAGTGAAAAACAATTAAATCGAAACCACTCGACGATAATAATGTTAATTAATCGAAAAAATCCGAGGTAAACGCATTGTGTTGTCGGTGACGGGCGCACGAGAATTCGGATTTGGAATCCGTGCGGTCGCGTCGACAGCGGTGCGCAGAGGACAGAGAGAGTACGGGAGCGAGCGAGAGAGAGTGGTGGTGACGACGACGGACACGACCTGCTACCGCGTGACGATGTCAAAATAATGTTTATCGTTACAAAATGTACTCGCTGTATCGCGCGATTCCCGGGAACACGCGCGAGGAAATCGGTGACCGGCAGCAGCGTAACTTTCACAAACCGAACCGATACGATTGTGTAACACCGCGTATCGACGGTGGCAGTAACATGTCCGCGTGCACCTACCCGTGTGCGAACACGATCGATTTTTACCGTCGGTAACGTCTGGACGTGTTGGTGACCGTACACCGGAGGGCTGCAACGTCCTAACCCTTGTCGAGCGCATTTTGTCACCATACCGATTTCGAAGATCCAAGCCATCGCTGCTCAAGCGTTTTACTAGTGTTCGTGATTTCCGAAACAGTCGAAGAAGAGCCATCACCTCACTACCCGTCCGCGTAACAAATACACTATTATCGCGGTTCTATCAATAACAACTTTGACGTTTTGTGTCACTTCGAGGGTGAATAATACATATTACGCGTATTACGTGTATTGTTTCGAAAACGATGCATTTCCAAGTATGAAAAATATTAACAAAATTTATTTTTCATATAAAATCGTGTAAGCGGTTTACCGACCGTTGCGACTCCCAGGTTGAGAAATTATTATAATATCATAAAACTATACGTATCGAGCGTATTTGTACGATTAAAAAAAAAAAAAAAAAAAAAGGCAACTCGTGTGCTTGCCATTACAACACGTCTGAGAAAATGTTTTCCTTACAATTCGCGAACGTCGTGAAAATATATAGTTTTATTTTATTTACAAACGACTAACGGCAATTTTAGGTTCGGAATTAATAATGTTTAATAAGTTAAATAAGAAAAAAAAATGATCGATTAAATATAAATATTAAAGTTTTTCAGTTTATGATAAGTTAAAGTTATAAATATGTATGTTATACGTCATGGTGAAAGTGAAACAAACGAGAAAAGACAACTCGATAGAAATGGTATTGTACATACCTAATAATAAAAATAATTTATCTTTATTTTATTATTAAAATCAAAATTATTATTTGATTACGAAGTGACCATGTCAATAAGAGTGGATAGACACTTGTAAACGAGAGAGGGGATGATTTCTGGAGAAATGAAAATGGATACGAAGGATTATAATGTTGTAAATGATATAATATGATGCGAGTTCTTCATCAACATATTATTTTTGTATTTACTCGCGAGTTCTTTGCGTGCAGCGAACGTTCTCCTACGCGAACAACAGAACGTGAGTCGCACCGCGTCGTATGTTTTACAAACGTCATCGGTTTCCAATGACGTTATTCAGATTAATTCTACGGTCGAACTACGTCACATGTCTGCCGTGCTTCTTCGAAGATTTACAAACTCATAACAGTATATGTGTCGTGTACATAATATAACTATGCGAAGTGATTTTGTTGTAAGTATACTATGCGGACGAGTGTCTGCATATGGTCATTTTTTTGATTTAGATGGTGATTGAAAGGGTTATGAATATTAACGAAAAACTGAAACGCTCACATTTATATTTTTTACAGAATTTGAAATTAAAATTATTTAAATTAATTGATACCATCTTAGTATACCGTCAATAATTACTTAGTATAATAATAGTAATAGTAATACAATAATTGTCTGATAAAATAATGCCTAAATTAGATCCTGTAAAACGAATCACATTTAATATTTCTCTGTGACGTGAGAGTGTAACTTAGTAGTATATCCTTCAATTTTCAAAATAATGTTTATAGTATACGGCGTATAGGTAGTATACCCTATGGCAGAGATTCTTAAACTGTTATAAACACTGTACCTCTTTTTACCAATAAACTTTTTATGTACCCCTTCTTAGTTAGTAAACTAAAATATATATAAAAAATTTAGAAACACACATAATGCAAAATAAAAAATAAAAAGATTATTACAATGGTTATTTTTACTGATTATATGTATAAATAGTACGGATTATGGTGGAGGGGGTATGGCCCATTCCCCTATAGCTACGACATTGCATAGTTTAGTAAAAAATGCTACAACCGACAGTATATACTTTTATAATGATAACTAACAAACACATCTATTACATTTTATTAAATTGGATTATTAATTATGACATTTGGATGTTTACCACCTTAATTAAATAATAAATTTATAAAATTAAAAGAATAATAATAATGAAATATAAATAGGTGTTTTTGTAAAACGAGAATAGTCATATAAAAAGCTTATAGCATCGTTGAACGTAGGACAAATCAAACAAATGTTGGACAGTCTTGTCCAATGTAGTACGATTGATTTAGCGCTTTTAAAAAACATTTCAACTCCATTTCGTTGTTATAAATTGTCCGCAGTCACGTTATGTAGACTTTGGACAAAATTTACTGTTTAAAGCTGCAGTTACGCATTTTTTATTTTTCCTTTTGCATCGCACACGCGACCAAATTATAATAATACCTTTCTAAGATGAAACCGCTTGGGTTTTTTCCGGTTTAACGGGGTTTTTGTTTTGACGAGGTTAAAAAAAAATAAAGATGATTTATTTTTTTTGCTTCAATATGTATTATGTATGTATATGTTATTATGTAATATATAATATATATATGTTATTATGTATGTATATTTTTGTAAATATGTAAGTATAACTTGCATAAAGTAGAATTAGATAATTAGAAAAAATGGATGTACAATTTATATTTTTTGGAAAAAATTAGTGATTGATTTTGTTTTTTTTATTTTATAAAACGTCGCATTCTACACACTCTTAGGCTCTTATTATCAAATCCAAATGCTGTTAGCCACTGTTTGATACTGTAAAGGAGAATTTTTGTAGTTCCTCGAGGTAGGAAATAGCAATTTTATAGTATTTGATGAGATTTTTTGGTTCTTCATAGTGCAATAATAAATATAATAAATAAATCAGGTAAAAAACCTTACATTATCGAATCAATAGCATAGTTATTGAAATATTAAAAGCCAAAAACCTAATTAGTAAGTTTTTTTTAATAATTAATTTTGAATGAATCATAAATTTAGCTAATAGGTTTTAAGAATATTTGGAAATAAAAAAACCTTGGCATGAATTAATAATTGATTGGAAAACGTTCTTCGCGTAGCTGAAAAGTATTTCATAATCAACAAAAGAACAGAAACGACGAGCAAATGTAGCAAACATGCGAAACGCTGTTTACCGCGACTTATGGAATTAAAAATTAATTTCATCGTCATGTAGGAAAAAGCGGTGGTGATTGAAATTATTTTGTCGACGATTTCGTTATCGAATGGCAAGACGTAACTAGTAAATGTTGGCCGGATAAAAATTCCGAGGACGGTCGTCACGGCGATAACTTTGTTTACGTTACCTCGGCCACGAAAAACGCTTTGCAAACAAACGCGCGAACACGGTGTCACTATCGCACGGTCGGCAAGAGGAGCAGAAGACGTACACTCGAAGACTGAATACGTACGCGCGGAAACGTCCAAATGAACGCTTATCACGTGCGAAAAATGATGCGAGCGGTGCAAAACGGGTTGCTGGACAAGGGCAACCCGACGACCAAGGTGTTCGAATGGGCGGAGAAACGGTGCGGCGTGCGGCGGACGAAGATTTTCGTGTGGCTGGTGATGGCCGTCGTGATGTACCTGTCCACGTCGGGCCCGGGCACCGTGCTGCTCGGCAACCTGGTCGGTTTCCTGTACCCCGCGTGCATGACCGTCATCGCTCTGGTCCGTTCGTCGGGCGGCGGCCCGGAGCCCGAGCCATCCTACTCCGCCGAGCAACAACTACAGCGCGACCGGCTGCGGCACCGCCGGGCGGTCCGGTTGTTCGTGTACTGGTTGGTGTTCGCGGCCGCGTTGGTAGCGCACCAGCTGTTCGGCGGCCTGCTGCGCCTGGTGCCGTTGTACGAGCTGATCCGGGCCACCGTTTTCGTCTGGTGTTACGCGCCGGCATCGATCAACGGCTCCGATTTCGTGTACAAGCTAGTCGTGCGCCGCTACCTAGTCGCCCATCGCCACGTCGTCGGTTCCAGGCCGAAATCGACGAAACGATTGACCGCGAATCGATAATAATACCGGATTCTAAAATAAGCGATCGTGTCGTAATAGCGAAACTGCAGTTTTTCATAATTTTTATTTCGAGTGCTATACGTTTTAATTGATAATTAGTACTTAATAGTATTCTCAATAGTATAAAAATTTAACAGGAAGCCACACCGCCGTATGAAAATGTATCGATTTAATAAAGGAAATTCGAAATTTAGAAGAATTAAAACGAGAACAGTATAATGCTATAGAACAACCAGGTTAGTACAAAGTATGAAAAGTAGTAAAAAATACAAAAACTGTGCTAAAAGATTTCATTCGTTAATTACAAATTATTATACTAATGATAGTAAGAACATTTGTAAATGATATAGCGTATAATTTTACACTAAATACCTAATTGTTTTTTCAAAATTATTATCACTAAATCGTATATTTTCACTCTTCTTTAAAATTCGCCGTTTTTACACTCGCAATTTTGACATTCGCTCTTATTTTTTTCGCTATTTTGGCCGGATACCAATAAAAAAACCTTTGCCATCGAGGTGAATAAGAAAGAAATTACTTTGACCATTGATAGACTTAAACCAGCCTATATAATACTTGACGACTTTCCTAAGGAAACCGTGAAGAATGCTCCAGGATCTGCTCTCGACCCCATTCCAGAAGAAAATCAAAGGACATGTTCCGGCAGAAGAGTTCATTTTCCAGACCCTTTTCAAGCAGGCCCAGTTGGACTCCGTCATTGGTAGGAAAGTAATGTAGCGAAGACGATAACATGCGATAAGCATTCTCGAATTTTTTCGTATGATTAAACACTCATCGAGAACATTCGAGAATCAATACCAAATTAATACCTAAATTTTACCGTTCAAAATTATCAAGAATGATTGAAAACACTCGTGAATGTTATCGTCTCCCTATATACAACGGTAGACTAGCAGTCGTGACCCAGTTAATCTTATCTACTACACCACGCGTGATAGTTGCCGTATGATTGTTTTGTTCTTATAATCTAGTGTGTGTACGATATTCATATTTTCATCACACGTATTTTATTTGTATTTGATGTCTGCATATAAAATAAGTAAGAATAACAACATGTAATGGAAATTTGAATACCGTACACATACTAGATTACAAGAACAAAACAATCATTTTAATTTCAATTTCAATTTTTTATACGGAAACTATCACGCGCAGCGAAGGTAAAATTGACTGGGTCACAATAACGTCTATCGGTATATATATATTTAGGGAGATGATAACTTTCACGAGTGTTTTCAATCATTCTTGATAAATTTGAACGATAAAATGTAAATAATTATTTTGGTATTGATTCTCGAATGTTCTCGTTAAGTTTGATCGTACGAGAAGATTCGACAAAACCTGTCGCATGTTATCGTCGTCGCTACATTATAATTCGTAACCAAAATTATAAGAGAATAATAATTTACATAATTTAACTTATATGGTAGTTGTTTAACTATTAAATTATCTAAAAACTTAAAATTGTAATTATACTACCATGACATAATTTGACCATATTTTAATCATAGATTTTTGTTCGTACTTTTTAAATCCGACTATCACAGGCTTGTAATCAGTTACCCAACTTGTCATGAAGTGAAAAGTGTAAAGAAAAATCGAAAATCTTAATTTTTTTTTAATTAGTTTTATTTCAGAATCTGTAAATATATTATTTTTAAAATAAGTACAAGTGCTGTATAGGTAGAAATAGAATAAAAATAAAATAAAATAAAAAGGGACTGATGACTTGAGCGAAGAATCCATCCAGCAATGGAACTTCTTGACATTGTAAACGGGTTTTATTCAATCAAGAGATCCCGACACTATTTGCATCTTAAACGTCTTCTGGGGTCACCTGGGATCGCAGGTGATATAAGTTTGAGATTAGAGGATTGCGATGGTTGGAGAGATTTAAGTGGAATCGTTTATATAGAGTTTTGGCTACGTGTTGTACTGTTCAAATGGAGAGGTCATTATGGAGTGTATCGTTTGAGATATTAAAGGGGGCTTTGGTAATTTTTCGAAGGCATTTAGATTGGAATGTTTGAATTTGCTTTATATTTGATGGTTTGGCGGAATCTCAAAGTTGTATACCATATGCCCATATGGGTTTCAGTAATGTTTTATATAGAAGTATTTTGTTGCTCAGATTGATGTGTTTAGAAGATAGGAAGAGACGTAGTTGACGGAATCGTTTATTCAGTGCCATACGTTTGGTATGGATGTGGTGGGCTCAGGTCAGTCGACGGTTCAGGTGGAGGCCGAGATATCGGACATTTTATGTGGGTGGGATAAATAGGTTATTGAGGGTTTTGCTAGGGCAGTTTCTTGGTCTTAAGATGAAAATGCAGTGGACGGATTTTGACACGTTTATATTGATTCCCCAATCTTTATACCAGGTTTGGAGTAGATTTAAGTAGAATTGAATGAGGTTGGAGGCTATTTCAGATTCTGAGTTAAGCGCCATAATGGCTTTATCATCGGCAAAATTACCTGTAATCGTATGGTTAGTTTTGGGTTGGTCGGAGGTGTATAGATTGAATAAAAATGGAGCTGCTACAGCACCTTGGAGAACTTCAGCATATATGGGATTTATTTCAGATAAGGCTGAACCAGAACGTACAACAAAGTGTCTGTCTGAAAGATGGATTTCAGTTTGAAAAGGAGGCCTTAGTGTCATACTTTATCAAAGGCCTGTGCCATGTCTAAAAATGCAGTAGTGCATATTAGTTTTTTTCTAGAGAGTATGAGATCTTGTCTACTGGACGGTGGACTTGGTGTATGGTGCTGTGATTTTTATGGAAGCCAAATTGATTGTTTGAAGTATTTGATTCAATAACTGGGATAATACGTTGTAGAATAAGTTTTTTAAACATTTTTGAGAAGAGTAGGAGTAGGCTAATAGGTCTGTAGGAACTAGGAATATCGGGAGGTTTATTTGGTTTATGTATCATCACTATTATAGAGAATTTCCATAGGGTAGGGAAACAAATTAATCTTATCGTGGAGTTGCAGATATGAGTTAATAAAAGTATGGCTTTTTAGGTAATTGAGAGATTACTTCAGCGGTTATTTGGTCAAAGCCTGGGTTTATTTTTTCGAGCAGATTTTTTCTATAGTATATTTGACTTATCTTGACCGTATGTGTTTGGGGGGGAGGGAGGAGATTCATTGGTATGAACAGAGTAAAAAGTGATTTACTTTGTTGATTTGACTGGTGGAGAGAATGTCGGTGTGTGGTTTGAATGTCAAGTGCAGGTGACGGAATATATTGGACTTTTCTAAGTTGTTTATTACCCATGTTCCATTTGCTTTTCTCAAAGGTGGAACTGCAGGTTGACTACGGATTATTTTCCTGGTAGTTTGTCAGAGTGGAAGAGAGAGCTACTAGATATTTTGCGAAGTTTTCATATCTAATTTGGGCCAGGTGTCTGTTGAGTTTATTAGTGAGATTGTTAAAAATACGTCAATCTGATAGGCATCTTGTTCTCTGCCAAGTGACTCGAGCTTTTCGTTTTTCCGCAATTAGCAATCTAGTATAGTGGGAGAGGTTTTTGGTAGTGTTTTTGGGGGTGAAGGGGATGAACAAGATTATGCCTTTTCTTGTATGGATCTGTGAGGAAATTAACTGCTTCGTCAATATCAATGGGAGATTTTAGATTTATGTTGAGGATTATTTTGTTTTCGAGGGATTATATGAAGGTTGTCCAACATTATTATAGAATACCACGAAATAACGTTTCTAATTATATTACGCTAGATCGGTTCATTATCTTGACGCGGCGTGATAGCGGTACGGAATGTTCTCGCACGCACTTGTACGCACATTTCAAAACGTTTTATTGAGATTGCGAAAAAATGTTTATTTTTCACTCTAATATACGATTCTAATTCAAACAATATGTCGCAACGATTATCTCGATTTATATTCTGAAAAAAAACATTCTTTTTTCCACAACATGTACGAGGGATCGATCGAGGTATATTTTAAAAATTGTATTTAGTTAATTAAATATTTAAGTTTGAAATTCTGTATTGTTTTGAATTTTCAACAATATTTATTGCAATTAAAATTACAAAAATTAAAAATGTGGCTCAATCGTTCCCTTGAACATATTACGGAAAATTCATATGTTTTTTCAGAATGAAAATCGTGATGATTGTCGACACGTAGCGTTGGAATTAGAAACGGTAGTTTTTGTTAAAAAAGACGTGATGGTGAGGCCCCTTAAAAAAAAAAGTAACAACAATTAAAAATTGTGTGATCGCGTAATTGCATTACGGTCATTCCGTAGCGTGATATAAGATGATTCATACGAGTATACGTATGTGACATGCATAATAATAATATAAAAATTGTCGATTTACTTTTGCTCATTATTGCATAAGTTGTTACGTGTATAAAAAAATTAAAAAATCACAACTGATGTAAAAAATATTGTTATAAAACTATAGATAACATATTATTTCCTTATATCAAATCGAGTACACAATGATGATAATTAGTTTAAAAATAAGAAATTATAAAAAATAATAACAAAAATGAAATCATGACGTCCATGCTTAACAACAAGAGATAATTGCATTATTTTGTATATCGCCGTACAATAGGTATCAGTTTTTAATATTATGTACATACACCGTAGTATATTAATCATAAAGCGAGAATAAGAAAAACAAACATATTTTTATAGAAGCGCACACGTATATGGATGTAAAATTATACGTCGCACAAATAAAAACAAATGCCAATTCACGTATGAGAATCCACGAAACAGCGCGATAAATGTGCAGTCCAAACTGGCGATATGTGAATGTATACGGAAAAAAATTTAATTAAAAAATACGTGTCTAGGCTACCACCCGGTTTGTGTGAAGTTTTCGCGCGTTTTATTGAACAAATTTAAAATGTGTGTAAGTATATTATCATGCTCGTGCGTGCGATGTGTTCAATCGATAGACAGCTGTTTGAAGGATCCTTCCATTCCGAACAGATCGTCTTGCGTCTTGGGCTTTCCAGGACGCCTGGACTCGTCAGCTTTGATCTTTTCCTGTTCCTGGAACCAATCCTTGTAAGTGACCATTTTCTCGTACCACTGGCCTGCACGTGAAAAAACATACGGTATTATAATAACAATATGATGTATTCGATTGCGGTAGCACTACAGCGTACAACCATCCCCCCCACTTACGGTTAATTTCGGCTATAGGTCCAGCTTTGCCTCCGTACTCTTCCGGAAGCATATCTTTAGGAACAAATTCGTTTAACGAATCCATCGATGAATGCACGTGGATCTACGCAAAAGAAAAATACATTTAATACACGGTCGATCGAACGCGAATGGTGTGAGTACAGTTACATGCTAAGTAATAAATCTAATCCAATAACGGTTAAATTATTGTCTGTAAACGTCGTATTGTATCGAACACACTTACCCTGTTACGAATTTTCTCTTTAAGGAAAGGTTTCACGAAGTTGATTATGGTGTCGACGAGTGGCGACACGTTAATGACGTGAACTTCCTTCAATTTTACCGGGTACGCTTCCTAAAATAAAATAACAACTCGATTATGTGTCGTATGGTCTAGAGTAGTAAGAAAAAAAATCATACGATCAAAATTGTAAAAACTAACTGAACAATTTAATATTAGATTCAATACGTAGGTAATCCATATCAATAATATATAATCAAATGTGTTCGTTTTTTCGGGTTGTTAAATTGTTTTGCCAGAAGTCAACGTTAATCAATAATTACTATTCGATTGTTTCGACGTAGTCACGACTCGCATACAAAATATATTATAAATTAACACACGGATATTTATTAAATAAACACATATGAAGAAAAATTGTTCATAAAAAATTTAACAATACCGGCTTGTATTGTAAAACCATACTAATTTGAGTGTTTTTGTCGTTAATTAAATCCGTTAAATTAACCGTTAGTTAATACGTCGAAAAAAGTAAACTAAAATATTGTTGTAAGCAAATAAACGAGAACGTGAAAAGTTTAGAGATGCTATTATTAATTATTACTATTGGTATTCGAGAAATAAGATACGGTCTTATTAATTATAGAGGCTATTTCAAAGCCGTAATTAGTATATATTATGATACCACGAAAATACAAAACCAAACTACAAGTATGACACGAATTCTTAATGTGTTGTTATCGATGAAATGCGTTCAATCGGAACTAAAAATTATATTCATTAATTGTACGTTAATTGTAACTGAAAAATTATTTAAAAATTTCATTTTGAAATATTAAAACTTTTCACAAAGTCACGCTGTCTAATACTCTAATTAATAACAATAAAAAAATGGAATTAACAATCTCCCTTTATTTCCAGAAACTGCGATGATAATTTCACAGTTTAAACCGTTACTAAATTTTAGTTTTGGAACATTTTGAACCCTTTCTTTTGAATAATTTCAAATTAAAAAACCACACACACATACACATATTTTGTTATCTGTAAACTTTTTAATACTTCGATAATTTGTTATTTCTCGAAATAATTTTCGTCGTTTTAATATCACTAACTTTACTGGCTCGATCGGTGTAACTGTTCAAAAAATATTGAGGCGGGACGTGCAATCAAAATACATTAAAAATCTATATCGCATTGCTCAATGTGTACGGCTGTTGAAGTTTCTAATGAAAACATGACATGTATTTTAACAATATAAAGACGATGTTAAGATGTGACTTTAACTACCTCTCCTCCCTGAAAAAATTTAATAACAATCGTTGTAGACCGCATGATACCGAAGTGTAGAAGATACACGTGGACAAATTCTTGGTCTGCAGTGTCGAAGAATAGAAAAAAATGACTACTATTAAAAACTGACCACCTTTATACTTCCGGTATCACAGCGAGGCGTTTAGTTTATTTTTAAATTTTTTCACTCTCGAAATTTCATTCTTTTATAATCGGACGTTCATTTTGAACACTTGAAACGAAGTATGGGTTAGGAATTAAATTTAGAAAAATAAAAAGACACTTCTCCAGGGTCGAATTCGATTCGTAAAAGTTATCACCTCATGTTACCAACATAAATGTATAACTTCAATAGAACCACCGACGAAAATATCGTTCGAAGGTCGAGCCAATTCGCTAGCCAATGCGAAATGTAAATTTTCGGGAACGAAAAATCGATAAGTATTTTTGAGTTACGCGCTCGGCTTAATGATGTGCACAACGCACCTGTACGCAAATGAGGAACTTTTTGATCAAGGACGGCGTGAACTTGGCAAAGTGATTGGCGAAGTTTTGAGGAGTTGCCACGCTGGCGTCCAAAATATACACGTCTCCGGCCACGCCGACGTTCTCCTCCTTCAACCTTATGTCACCGATCATTAGCACTACTTTCATGCCGTCTGCCACGGTCGCGGCGATGTGCTCCAAATCCACACCGCGCATCATGACCACACGGCGGCCGCTCGGTGTCAGACCTGGAAGTGGCGGCACGTTCCTGTGAAATATAATATTGATAATATTAATAATGTACGCCTGCCGCGACATGTTTAGAATTTTCAGGAATGAGAAGAATATGTGCTTACTAGACGCTCAATTAAATGGAGAGTAGTTGTTAAATAAGAGTCTATCTACATGGTTTTAATTACAACTCGAGTTCAATCAAGGATTAAGTGGAATAAGGATTTAGTATTTTTACTTCCATCATACTCTTTTAAGAGTCTTAAACTTTCATAAAATACAAGATTATGGTTGAAAAATATGTGAAGAACAAAAAGGAACAACAAGGGAATCTAAACCCTCCTAATTCACCCATCCCCTCCGTAAATCACTGCCGTACGCGCAACCGATACGATAACAGTTTCCGGTCGATCTGGAAAGATCGGGAATAATGCACAGAGTTCGTACGCCGAAAAATGAACGTTGGTTTAGAGGGGAAAGGGGGAACGATGATAGTATTATTATAATGTTCATAGTTAAAGTGAGTTACACAACCGAGCGCAGTATTATGTTTATTATTATTATTATTATTATTATTATTATTATATGTATATTAAGAATGGAAATCCAAAACGACGGTGGACAGGTAGGTTGTTGTTTAGAAACAAAATAGATAATCGAACTTCGGTCTAATAGAGGCGTTATGTAAATAACTATTATCGTACATTATGATGTAATGTAATCAGATGGTTGACACGGTTGACGATTTTAAACACAGAAAGTGTTTAATACATGAATAGGAGTTGAAAACAATTTCCACGAACGAGACTAACGCTTATCACGAATATTGAAACGACATGTGAAAATTTACTATGTTACTAAAATCCAACGGACCAAAGCATAGTAAAAAAAAAAATTCATTTAAAATATGAATTTTAATTATCATTTATATACACCAAAATAATAAATTCAACACACACGACAGCACGATACGAATGATATGAAGAAACTGATACAGTTAAATAGTTCGGAACAAACAGCTATGTTTGAAAGCTATACGTAAACATGCATATGACATTTAGACGTTTAAAGTTGTATGATGTAATTTGAAAATATAGTACGGGTTCGATAAAAAAGGCTCGCGGGGGGGCCAGTTGTCCACCCCCAAGCTATAAGAATGTCCGCAACTGGACTGAATATTATGTAAAATATACGTACGCGACTCTCATCACTTCTTTGATTTCCGGCAGCGTTGGGTCCCGGTTGCTGAAAAACTCCGGTACAGCTGCTCTCATCGTGAAGTACATGTCCAACTTCCTCTTAGTCTTTTCCAAAGAGAATTTACATCCCCGCAGGAACGTCATGATGCGAGCGTCATCTGGGAAAACAAATCCAACGATTATATCACATTGTCATCAAATAGTTAGTTATAGTAGGTTTTTTCACCAAAAATTATGGTGTAGATTGACGCGGATAAAAATTCTTTGACATACTGTAAACCCCTGTTGCGTCGGAGCAAACACGGAGTTTTTTTTATAAAATATCCAATTTTAAACCTAAAATCCTCTTTGGATCAATAGCATTTTTTCAGCGTTTTCTGAGAGGAAGGGAAGTGAAAGAACCTTTTAATTTCTAATACGTGTCTTTAACTTCATGGAATCCGATATAAATAAAGTTATTGCAAGTTAAAAAAAAAAAAACATTTTATTTTTACTGAATTAAATTTGGAATCCTGTCTATTACGAGTCACATCATATTAACACTTGTTATATTTTTAATTCGTGTATGAGAAATTCGAGAAACACGTAAGCATTACGTTACTGGAGAAATGAATATTAAGTATAATAATTGCAACAATAATTATTATTACCTATTTTATATTTCACAACTCTCAGACTACATAAACCTGTACGATGTGTGTTGATTAATATTAAAATCATATTATTGTTTTTGCTGTTAATCGTGTTGTTGTTCTCATTAATTATGTAATTGTTGTTATTTTAAACAATTTTAGTTCAATTAAAACCTCTATCATACATAATATATTAGAACAATAGCATTATTATTTGGCTATGCACCTGCTACTTAATGCTATAAAGATCTCAATATTGGAAAGTCTGGAAATCCTAAGTGGTTTTCTATTTGCTTTCGGTTTATATAACTTTTAGCCATCGTAAATGTAGCCTTGACCTAAACTCAAAAAAAAAAACTAAACAAACAATTCTATATAACAAAATATGGCGTTTGATAATAATACTTCAGTGACAGACTAGTATTGTTTAAAAAACTGCAGTTTACCAAAATTAAATACATAATAACTACCTACATACTTTGATGATAACACTTACTAATATTTTAGTCTTCTAACGAACAATTTTATCCACGAGGTACTCATTACATAATTTACCATAAATAACAATTAATAATTCAATGATTTCGTTTCAACCCACTTGAATTGAAAATAAAAATGTAGAACTAAATTACGTGCTTCATACCAAGTTCGAAATTCTACTTAATCCGTTACATATTTGGTGTCACGTAAGTATGAAAGAAATATCTACAAAATGTATTCTAATCAAAATAGTTTTATGTTGTTGTAAAATTTCCGTTGTTCAAGTCGTATTAATCCCGATACATTTTATTTTAGTCATTATTATGACGTAACTAATGTTTTACTGAAACGCATGATCATTACGATCCATTGCATTTATATTTATATAAATCAAAAATATGATTATTGCTAAGTTATTTTATAATAAATAGTCTACTTTCAACGAATGTTCAGGGAGCGATATAATATTATCATTGTTTTCATTCTTATATACGTCCGTGTGAATATATATGGATAAGTACTGCTTCATAAGAAGTGAACACATTACAATATTTAAACCGTGTTAGAATAACGATTAAACATAGACGTTTTTACTATACAATTTGATAAAGGTCATATAAGATAATCATTATATTATGCAAAGGTGTACTAACGGAAAATTGAAAATCGTAATACTAATCGTAACTTTTGGAGTTAACGATTTCGTTATAGTAATATTTTCGTTAGGACTTACCGTGAAACTGAGGTAAGTGCGGTTGCATACGTAACCATTCTTTGATGTGTTCCAGATCCTTGTCCCGAGTGGATACGTCTTCATTCAATTCGGTGCGGATGTGCTGTTGCATCTCCACGGTAGGCTGTACGAGAGTCATCTTGTCGGCTGCAGAAAACCAACGATATTATAATATTGCTTTTCGAGTTTTAATATAATATTGTTAGCATTTAAAACGGTGTACAGCCGCTGTGCAACGTTGTTTGGGTGCGCGTATATATATTCGTAGCGCGCAACGGGATATGAGTGGCTGAAGAGAATGAAAAGAAAATATGTTCGTATAAGAACGGCTTTAAGCAGTGGCTTGATATAACCGCCTATCGAATCGTTTATACGACTTCTAGTGTGTAGTCGAAGAAAGTGAAAGTACACTACGCAGACACATAAGAGTGCGTGAACGCGTGTACTGTGTAGTTGTGTGTTTGTGTGTGTGTGTTTGTGTGTGTGTGGTTATGTGCGCACGACAAAATAATATAATCGTTGCATAACAATATCGAATACGACCGCCGAATGGAAAAGGATTCCTATCCGGACGGTCGCGTTGAGCAACAGTCGCCACTGCTGTTCGGGTGACCTTCGAACGTACCAAATCCGGATGTACAGTTCTCTGTCGGGTAACCTTTTCGTCTGGTCTTCAGTGTTTGTGCGGTTACAAAAAAGTGACAAAGTCAATGTTTGAATGTCGTACAACGATGATATTAACCGACTGACGATGACTCGACGTTGTCCTTCGCACATTGTGGCAGTAATCAACTGATATTTATTTTCTCGCGTAAAAATAGCTTTTATTGAACGCGATTGATTCGAACCTATGTGCTGATTCACGTGTTTACGGGCCACGGCCGGGTCGAAGGACCATCGAGAAATCGAAGAGAGTTTAAGGACGGGTGCATTTGTGCGTGAGTTCAATCGCGTGGTATTCGGTTTGGATCGTTTTGATGGCGGAAATCGTGTCCGTATACTACTTGTGAGTGTTTGATGTGAACGATAAAAAAAATAACGCGAAATAAGAGCCGTGGGAATAATCGTTTCGGTGCGAGGAAAACCAAATCTCTAAAGATTTGCCTATACCAATAAGTATGCGTCGCTTTCTAAGTGCGTTCAAACTTTTGGTCCGCATGTACAGAATGCAGGCGGAAGAGAGATGAGACCCAGTATTATTTTTATCATCACTTATGTACGACGTAATAATCGTAAACCGGAATCAAACGAGCAAAAAACATTGAGTCACATAATACTAACGTACGAGTGTACAGCAATTATTATTGTACACCAAACGGACTAATCCGATCGGTTTTTTTGGAATAAAAATCAACTCGTGTCGTGGGTCTTGGAATTCGTCGTAAAAAAAGACGCGATGTCGATCGAAACAATTACGAGCGTAGTGTACAAACATTCGACAACTGCAGGTGATATACTTCCGCAATAATTAACGTTTAACTTCTTCGATAACTGTTCACCTATAGGACGCGTCTGAATATATCGAAAAATAGAGGGAGTGAGCGAGAGAGAGTAGACGACATTCAGAAAATGATAGTATCAAAATATTATTTTTCCCTCTGTAAAACATTGTTATATTGAGTAACGAAGACGTTATTACATCACACTTGATAATATGATGAAACAATAATACACGTACACGCATTACACTACGTTATTATCTACGTCGAAAGGATCGCGGGTGCGCGTGTATTTTCCAACAAATTAATTTCACGGTACATGATCCCAAAAAACATATAATATTTTTGTAATTTCTTTGTCGACGATATGTTTTGTTTCGATAAAACGTAACGAAACTCGTAACGTTCGATCGTCTGCGCAGACATAATTTTTGTAGAAAACTATGAAAACCATAGTTAACCCGCGTCGGGAGAATGGTCGGAAAAAATAATAATCAACTAACGTGAATACGGTTTTCCAAAGCGAAGCGGTGATATATGCCTATGGAATAACTAAAGAAATGTGGTTCGGTTCAAATTTCGTTTCGAAAAGACTTACGCGCAAATAAAGTTCAAAAATATTAATTGAAAATTAATTAAGTGTTGATGAAATAAAATCAATGTACTAACACAAGAAAAATATTCCCAAACCAAATGACGAAAACTGTGATGATATCACGTACAGGTATAGTCATAGAAACAGTGAATATCGAGATAAGATCAGCAATTAGATTGTCGTCCTCGTCTGATAACAATACAAGTATTATGGTTGCAGAACTCACTTCGTAAGATATGAGGAAATAGTATTTACATATAGTCGACGAGTATGAAAACGTGAAAAAACTATTATGATCACTCTATGAGTCTGATGGTTGAAAAATGAACTCGTGTAGAACCAAAGAATTATGATATTCTTAAAAAATCATAGTCACCCGTAGTGTAATCACGATTGATAATGCGCGGTAGTGGGTGCGGATAAAATAAAACGTTTAGAAAAAAATCCTAAAATTGCATACGCCGCGATCACAAGCAGTACACTCATTATAGGAGGGAGCGAGAAATAGTGAAACAACTGTGTTCTAGCGAATTTTTGTCATAATCGTTATTTAAAACTATGTAAATCGATCGCGTTATCAGATTGGAACGATTAATGCGTGCGCGATTCAGTCGGATTGATTAAGTCCACCGAAATCGATGGAAACGACTTGCTGCCGCGAGACCGGGTCGGGAAACGTGAAGATTGGTTGGCGACGTTGAAACTGACCAGGAGGATACTGCTATAGGGTTTTCGGTGACCGACGGTCAGGTAAAGCGGTGGTTGAGTGGGTACGTTGAAGAACTCCGCGTGGCGAAACACTTACCCGGTTAACGTTTTTCGTCCTTTTTGGCTCCTTGTTTATTTGATTCCGCTGGTCGTTCTACTCGTTCTTCTCCGGCGTTCGTGTCGGGTTCCGGTGCTGGACTGTTGACGGTATGCCGACGCACTCACCACGTGAACGACGCGTCGGCTCGGCGCAATTAACTGCGGTGGACGAGTGGGAAGGGAGCAGGAGACGTGTGGTGGGGTACGAGACGTTGATGTGTGTAATTACTTCACTTTCACTCGCCCCGGAGGCACCGTCGGCGGCGGCGAGCACGTAACGGAATACCGCGGATTCTCCACGTACCCGCTGTGAGCGGATGATGTTCATCGACGGGAATCCGAAAAAACACCGAATCGTCTGTTGGTTTTTTGTGTTGTGCCGGCGGTCGTCCGTTGGCTTCACGAATCGGTCAGGACATTGCGATCCGACCTGGAACGGTTTTCGGTTAGGCCGATAAACGCGTGGCGTTTCGATGCTATCTTACACCCGCAACGAACACTGTCACCGTTTTCCAATTCGGTTGTCGTCGGGGGGATCTAGAGGAGGTTAAGAAGGTCAGCTGACTCGCAGTTAACACTTGTTGACCAAATCGGCCTCTTGAAGAGTTCTTCGATGTTTTTCAGTGTCAACTTTAGGTTGAGAAACTTAACTAAACGAGACTGGGACAAATGCCCTGATTGCCGATTTGTAATCCAGTTTCAGATTCTTGAGATAACCCACGGTTTTCGAACTGCGAATCTCGGTCCAAGGGTGGGGTTTTTTGTTTCCGATTTCGCGCACCTTCGTACTGCCTAGCGATAATATATTATTGTCATCCGTTTGCGTCCCCGTCGCTGTGAGGAACATAAAATGAACGATAACTACGGAGCGAAAGAATCTACCGGAAACATAAAACAACCGTCGTAAACACTGTGATCGCCGAATCGATTACATCAGTTAAGCAATACCGTGTTGCAACGGTTTCGACAACGTTATCGTTAGAAGAGTACATCAGATCGTGTGCAGTTATGTACACATTGTTTTCGTCTGAAAACCAAGATTACGGTGAATAATCATCAAAAATATGTCATGATAACCAACAGACAAAGACGGTTTACAATGTTGCGACGTATAAGGTGCATACGAGTAACTTATATGTGCAACGACTTTTGTGGACTGTATTTAGTCTAAAATAAACACTTTTGTGTGCAGAATCCTTAGCGATAATTTTGCTATCGTCAAATGTCATTGTATTATTTTATTTTTTTGTAAAAAACGCATTTTCCAATTCAAACTGTTACGTTTTATAAAAAACAAAGGTTTAAAAATTATTATTTTTAATTCCTCTAACAGTATTTTATTCGTTTTCATAGTTCACGAGAAAAAACTAATTTTTTCCTCGGAAACGTGCAAATATTTTATACGATTTTCACCTTAACATACCTATAGATAAGTCGTAATAAATAATGTACGACCGAAATTGGCCACTCACGATAAAAATTAATGTACGTGTAATGAATTCGATTAAAAATGTATTGTAACCAAGGCTCAAGATAAAATATAAGAGATTATACAAAATACAAGTGCACGCGCTACTCGACGTATGTTGTATTAACATTCCAAGGTAAATTGGTGAAGCTTCAGCAGTTGTCACTTGGTCATGTGCTAAAAGGAATTTGTGTTTATTTTAAATTAACAAATAAAATATTACGCATGTACGACAGTTAACACGAACCAGGAGAAGTGTATATTTTATTAATTTATTATGTTGAATTGTTCACCGACTGAATGAAAAGTGCCTTATTCGACGCCTATTCCGTTGTCCACGAGTTGTTACGAGTGAAAATAATAATTTAGTAAAATATTAACATCTTTCAATCTTTTAATCCAGGGTCATAATGAAAAATCAAGGTGCTTCCAGTATATTTATATGTATATAGGTATACGTTTTGAACACATAATTTATAGTCGTTTTATTTTTTACTCCATCAGGATTCCCATCGATTTTTTTTTTTTTTTTTTGTACAACGATATCACAATTTCTAATAGATTAATCGTTAAAATTTTAACGTAAATGTTAGGCTTCAACAGCTGTGACCATTATTTTTTTGCATTTCAATACACAGAAACTTTCACGGGCAACTTAATAATTATTAATGTTATATTAATATTTATTTATACCAGTTTACATCTTTTAAATAAGATATATATATATATATATATTAATAACCATTTTATATTGTTGTAGTTTTGAGAAATAAATTATTGAGTAAACCTAATTCCGTGATATTATTCTGCATTCGATTATTTCGTCCAATAAATACTTATTTTATTCATTTACTTATTTTTTATATTTATTTGTTTTTTTAATACGTGTAATCGACTTAATCGATTTCAAACATCTGCAATGTTAATGTTCAAAAAATAACAACTGTAAATAATTAATCAACTGATTTGACCGATCTCTTGCTTAGTTAACCGTTCGAGTGCTATTACATCTTTATAATACGAGAACTGTTTAAAACGTTAGCCGACGTGGTCATAAGTGCACAAAGTGTTCCCGCGGCTTCTTAGGGTTATAGGCAAATTATAATATGACCCCACAGTAACATGTGAATTATGATACACTCAGTTTTACCGAATAAACATGTTAATATTTCGGAAGAAAAGTAAGATTTCTCAAATCGTATGCCAGTCGAAATTTAAAATTTAAACAGGTTCCAGCGTGGCAAATTGGCCGACAATATGCAGATCGGTTAAGCTACTTCTCTGATTTCTTCTACTGATAGTAGGATGGGGTGACCATCCGAGTGCTATCAGCGGTTCGGTGCACTTTTTTTGTTATGGATGCAGGAGCATCCATAACCGTAATTGAACCGAATAGTTGCAAAAATATAACCAGTTAGGATGCGCGGCAATCTCTTGCCAGATACTAGTCGGTTCGACCATTGGTCGCGTTCATATTAAAATTAGGTTAAGTGTTAAATATGCACACTTAAAATCACGCTTTTTAAAACGGCCGCAGTGCAATTAAGATCAAGGGGAGATAGCTAGTGTCGTACGCACTTGATTACGAACATTATCCACATTAAGTAAGCAGTTTAACGGAGGGGAAGGCTTTATAATAATAATTGCAATATTTAATTGTAAATTATATACGTAATTCGTTGCCCACTCCCCCTGCCACTACAAATCTAATTCTTGGATTATGTGTCTAATGATGACCAAAATGATTTATGTTTAACGGCCGGTCGATTTATAATATCAACTTAATCGGATTGATATTCCTAAAATTAATAAAAAAAAAAAAAAAACTATCCGAAAGCCGATACTGAGTGATTGAACGTTTAATATATGCCCCTTAAAACAAATTATGAATCCAGTTCTCAAGTTGAGTTAATGCCGTGGCTCTTATTAAATCAAGTTTACACAAAAAACGTTAATCCGTACAGCGAAAACAAAGATAATTATATTAGTGTATTGTAATTAGTCTACGGTAGTTGATGTTGTGTATGATATGAAAGTAGCTATCGTCTAAAATATTTTTTACTGCCACATAATGGATTCCGATACTACTTAATTATATTATTATTACCCGCGCGCGTGGGCAAATCGACGAGAGGAATGAGTGGGTTCGGTGCGATGTACGTACAAAAGTGTAACGCGTAATATGATTTTACGTTTCGCTTACGCGTCAGTTGTCGTAATAACATAAACTCTTTGTGCGAGTGAAACATATACGTCCACACAATTACCGCATAATTAGGTGCGCGCATTTCCCAAACAGCTAAAACCCACTCGACGCAGGCGAATACGCTAAACGTCGAACGATTCGACTGCAACGCTTTTTTAATTTCCCGTCTCTAAAACGTATTTTAAACGGAAAACTTCTATAATTAAATGTGCAATTACCAAAAGAAATTCTCGACTTGAGCGTAACATTATTTATTATGCTTGTGCGTTGAAACTTAAAAACACATTAACACATCTTAGTATTTAAATTTTCTATTTTGGCTCCGATTTATCAACACTGGCAAATGCGAATATACTACATTAAAAACTCATAATTTGATATTTTCCGATAATCGCTGGTGTAAATTTACTTCCAATAGAGAACGGTAATAAAAGTTAATAACTTTCAAATTACATAAAAAATAATCGTAACTATACGAGTACCAGTAAAATGACAGACGAACCGGACAATATAGCGGGAATACGAGGTGATGCTTTAAAGATGTGTTTTTTGTTATTTTTTATTTGCTGAGTAAATTTAATGAATTATAAACTCAAAACAAATATGGACAAATTGGACACGAGTACAAGAGCAGGGAGTCCTTTCAGTGACTGTTAATAATATAAGCGTGCGCAGATATTAACGGAAGGATAGTCGTACATTAGTACTCTGCATGGTCTGTTATTTTAAGGACTAGACTGGACTTCAAATTTTACCAGGGGACCGAAGTCGGAACGGACCACACTTAAACGTTAATCAAAGACCAAAATTGGACCGTACCGACGGCTTCATATTATTTTTAGACCGGACCGGACCAGTAATTAAATAACATTTAATAAAGTAGACCGTGGACCGGACTATCGGTTCGATCTTAAAACATTTTGAATCGTTTATGGACCGGTCCGTAAGGTTCAGTCTGTATTAGCCTAGACCATATCATATGATGCGTTTAGTATTACACTGGACCGGACTACCCAACTTTATAAATAAATATATACCTAAATTTGGAGGTTTTTTTTTTGTTTTATTTGTTTATATAACAATATCTGTATTTAGATTTTAAGTTCCACGATTGGGACTGGACTAAGACCGACCGGGCTGACTTTCATTTTTTTTTTTTTTTGATACCGGACCGGACTGAAAATAATGCATTTGATCTGAGAACTGGACTAAACTATTCATAAAAAATATTGAACCAAACCAAACCGACGATTCAATAGTTTTTATATGTTAGGACAAGACTGATTAAGACTGGATCATGCAGAGCACTATCATACACAATACATCAACATTTAATAACAAAAACTAATTTGGATGGGGTAACCTCGTTTAACTTAATAATTACATTTTTCCCATGTTCTTACATTTTACCGTTCAAGAACATGTCGGAGTGGTAAAAAATTAATGGTTATTTA